CATCGTTCTTGTGATCATTTTGACCCCACGGGGTGAGATCTTGCGTGGAGCCCCAGATCGAGGGAGATTATCAGTGGTCTTGTATGTCTTCCATTTCCTAATAATTGCTCCCACAGTTGATTTCTTCAAACCAAGCTGCTTACCTATTGCAGATTCAGTCTTCCCAGCCTGGTGCAGGTCTACAATTTTGTTTCTGGTGTCCTTTGACAGCTCTTTGGTCTTGGCAATAGTGGAGTTTGGAGTGTGACTGTTTGAGGTTGTGGACAGGTGTCTTTTATACTGATAACAAGTTCATACAGGTAACGAGTGGAGGACAGAGGAGCCTCTTAAAGAAGAAGTTCAGGTCTGTGAGAGCCAGAAATCTTGCTTGTTTGTAGGTGACCAAATACTTATTTTCCACCATAATTTGCAAATAAATTCATTAAAAATCCTACAATGTCATTTTCTGGATTTTTTTTCCTCAATTTGTCTGTCATAGTTGACGTGTACCTATGATGAAAATTACAGGCCTCTCTCACCTTTTTAAGTGGGAGAACTTGCACAATTGGTGGCTGACTAAATACTTTTTATCCCCACTGTAACTGTCACTTCAGAATGCAAGTCAATTCCTGAAACAAAACAGTTTTATTCATATATACAAATAGTATTGGACAGCTGTCTTGAATGCTGAACAATCAAGCACATTCAGGAGTCCTACTGTGCTGTCCTTGTTCTACAATTATTTATGTAAGTAACAATACAGTACTCTTCAGTAATGAGTCCTAGTTTATCACCTTGAGTGTCTGTGAAGATTACTTTCCCTGTTCCCAGTGTCACTTGAGTTGCCCTCTAAAATGTGGACATTCAGCCATCACAGGTAGGTAGGTAGGTAGGTAGGAGGAGGGATCAATGAGGAATCAGCCACCATCAGAACTCATGACGTCCTGTTAATACAAAACACAGGCCTACATGTTTGTTGTTCGCTTCACATTAGTTCAGGGTTTCCTCGGGACCCGAAGTACTACACATCTGATTCAAATATAAAATCAAACTAGTCATCAAGCTTTGATAATTTGAAAAACCAAAACGTGCACTCCTTGGGGTCCCGAGGACAGAATTTGGGAAACGCTGCATTAGTCGAAGAAACGTAAATGACATGCTATATTATTACAACAACCAGAACCTTCTATTGGCAAAGGTAACTTATTCTCTACCTAACGTTAGTGAGCTAGAATTCCTTTACAAAAAAAATAACGTAGTCCCACATTGCCATACCTTCAAAATCACATCGTTGTCACGCCTCCCTTAGAGGTCTGGAGAATTTAGTATTGCAAAAACAGTTTGAATGCTCCGCTGATTTTGATTGGATGTTACATTTCAAGAACCCTCCCCCACACGCCCATAGAAGGGGTGCTGTGTGTTTTGTGAGTCAGTGTTTTCCGTCCAGGTAGTTAGTTTAAGTTATCAAGTGTGGCCGACAATCTGCGATTTATATTTATTGAAATTGGATTACGCTGGTAAAGTCAAACATCACAATACGTTCTAAAGAGCTCTAGTGACAAACACACTTTATTCCTTGTCTCCATTCGTCCACATTGATGCAGGCTGCGCTTTGCAACCACCAAAAATAGTGAAGATTGGCCATTCTCTTGTTTTTGTAAGGAACCAAAAAGAGGCAGGGGAGAACCTATTCAAGTAAGTAAATACATTTTAAAAATGTTAAGAAATTATTTATAATTAGCCGGCTACAGTAGGCCACTTTGTAGACGAAGTCAACTGAGCTGCTATCTAGCCAACTTTACACACTGTTAAGCTAAGAAAATGTAAATGTCATCAGCTAGCTAATTTCCTATTAGTTAGCTATCTTGATGTAATCATTGTAAATTAAAAACAGTCTCCATGCATTTGTAGATAACAGCCATGGAAGAGGATGAAATTGCAGCTTCAGCTGTCAGTAAAGGGAGAGTGTAGGCTACTATTCTGGATAGGGCAGGTCATTATGAAAAGATTCTCCAGTTCCAATCCATAGAGGGGAAAACTTTGAGGACAGAGATAATAGCAACATAATATTCAGTGCTGTCTAACGTGAGTATAATGAAGCCTGTTTCTTTGTGATATTTTCTGCCCTCAGATCTGGAAAGCTTTGAAAGACGGTTTCAGATTAAGAGAGAGGTCCCAATGAATGTCCCAAGAAACTAAGGGTATATCCTATATGCCATGTGTTATATGTGTAGGCCTATCTATGTTAGTAAATGTTGTATACAAAAATATAGTTAAACATCAGACAATGTAAAATCTAGTACAATTGGAGCAGGCCAACCTTGCTGGAAGTCTGAAGGGTTCTGTTTCAGCCAAGCAATAACACACCTGATCAAATCTAATTAGTTGATAATCAAGTGTGCTATTGCTGGGCTGGAATAGAAGTCTGCTCACCCAGTAGATCAGGGATCAGTGGACCAAGGTTGGCCACCGCTGGTATGGATTGTTTTTTTGATCACCTGAAATGCTTTAGTAATAATAGCTTACTTGTTAGTACTCAATTATCGATTGTTGTTTAGACTAAGATGTCTAATCTCTACATACGAGCTATCTTATTTGTACATTATGAAGTGCTGATTCTTTGAAGTTACTTTTTATTTTATTTTAAATTGTTACAAACTATTATTAAAATGAACTAGTGTCAATGTTGATTAATCACAATCCTGCAATAAAGAAGGGAAGGGGTTATGTCTAATGTGTGTTGTATTCTCAACTGAACATTTCCTTTTATAAAGTTCTCCAATCTGTTTTATTTGATTGTCACTCAGTATATCAACTATGTGAATCCATTTTGCAGCTTATCATATGGCATGCACTGCCAATGCAGCCATAGGCCTATAGTATGATGGCATTACTGGCCTTATGGGCATCTGTTATCTGAAGCAGAAAATAGCTCAACTAAATGTTGAGCTATATGTTCTTAATTTAAAAATGCTACCAGTAGACAATGTACACTACATAACCAAAAGTATATGGACATCTGCTCGTCAAACATCTCATTCCAAAATATGGAGTTGGTCCCCCTTTTGCTACTACAACAGCCTTTTGCTACTACAACTCTTCAGGGAAGGCTTTCCACTAAATGTTGGAACATTGCTGCGGGGACTTGCTTCCATTCAGCCACAAGAGCATTAGTGAGGTCAGCCACTGATGTTGGGCGATTAGGCCTGGCTCGCAGTCTGCGTTTCAATTCATCCCAAAGGTGTTCGATGGGGTTGAGGTCAGGGCTCTGTGCAGGCCAGTCAAGGTCTCATGTGGCTCAGTTGGTAGAGCATGGTGCTTGCAACGCCAGGGTTGTGGGTTAAATTCCCACGGGGACCAGTACAAAAAATTGTGTGCACTCACTACTGTAAGTCGCTCTGGATAAAAGCTTCTGCTAAATGACTAAAATAAATCTTCCACATCGATCTTGACAAACCATTTCTGTATGGACCTTGCTTTGTGCATGGGGCATTGTTATGCTAAAACAGGAAAGGCTGTTGCCACAAAGTTGGAAGCACAGAATTGTCTAGAATTTCATTGTATGCTGTAGCGTTAAAATTTCCCTTCACTGGAACTAAGGGGCCTAGCCCGAATCATGAAAAACAGCCCCAGACCATTATTCCTCCTCAACCAAACTTTACAGTTGGCACTATGCATTCGGGCAGGTAGCGTTCTCCTGGCATCTGCCAAACCCAGATTCGTCCGTCAGACTGCCAGATGGTGAAGTGTGATTCATCACTCCAGAGAACACATTTCCACTGCTCCAGAGTCCAAAGGCGGAGAGCTTTACACCACTCCAGCCGACGCTTGGCATTGCACATGGTGATCTTAGGCTTGTGTGCGGCTGCTCGGCCATGGAAACCCATTTCATGAAGTTCCCGACGAACAGTTATTGTGCTGATGTTGCTTCCAGAGGCAGTTTGGAACTCGGTAGTGAATGTTGCAACCGAGGACAGACGATTTTAACGCGCTTCAGCACTTGGCGGTCCCCCTGTTCTGTGAGCTTGTTTGGCCTACCACTTCGCGGTTGAGCCGTTGATGCTCAGACGTTTCCACTTCACAAGAACAGCACTTACAGTTGACCGTGACAGCACTAGCTGGGCAGAAATTTAACGAACTCACTTGTTGAAAAGGTGGCATCCTATGACAGTGCCACGTTGAAAGTCAATGAGCTCTTCAGTACGAGCCATTCTACTGCCAATGTTTGTCTATGGAGACCGCATGGCTGTGCGCTCGATAGTATATGTATCAACGACCCTGGATAAGCTAGCGACTGGGCTAACACAGCGAGAACAGCACTTACAGTTGACCGTGACAGCACTAGCTGGGCAGAAATTTAACGAACTCACTTGTTGAAAAGGTGGCATCCTATGACAGTGCCACGTTGAAAGTCAATGAGCTCTTCAGTACGAGCCATTCTACTGCCAATGTTTGTCTATGGAGACCGCATGGCTGTGCGCTCGATAGTATATGTATCAACGACCCTGGATAAGCTAGCGACTGGGCTAACACAGCTAACCTTTTAAGTCAATAATATGCTGTTTTTATTAAACATTTGTTGGCTTTATAATCGTGAGAGAAATTTAACTAGCTTGTAAGTTATACCTAGGTTACAAGGTTAGCTGACTTCTCAAAACTAACCTCATTGTGGCTAGCTATTTCTAGTCCCTCATGGTAGCCTTTACAACTAGTGATGGGTCATGCGCACAAGCATCGGCTCTGAGAGCCGGCTCTTTGTAGTGAATCAGAAGAGCCGGCTCGCATCGAGTGAGAGCCGGCTCCCAGTTTTTTGCCCATTCGCTGCTTAGGTTTCACTTTCACAGAGGTCTGTTATGATTGGCCAGCATGGCGACCAGCATGCGGCATTCACGTGAGAATTAAGGATGTGTAAACAGAGAGGGGGCGGGGCAGACACACCACTTGACTCCACTGCAAGTGAAGAGAGAGACAGAGCGGACTGAGGAGCGTGTGTGCGTCTTGCATTGTCGTGTCGTTTAACTATGAGTGACACTAGAAAGCGAAGCAGCATCTGGCTGCAGTTTAAAGATATTGGGAACAAGAAAGCAGAGTGCCTTCACTGCAAAACGAAGGTCACTATAAGAGCAGGTTCCACCACAAACCTGCATAGACATACAAGAACTGTCCATCCTACAGTGCAGTTAGAGGAGAGAGGGCAAGCCAGCTCACCATCTACTGATCCTGGTGTGTCTCATACCAGAACAACAGCTGCTGTAACGTCTACTGCCATCCCCATGCGTGCAAGTATAACCTCTCCTACTGCAACTCAAAGCAAAATAAGTCAGTTTTTACCTAAACTGATGACCCCAGCCAAACAGCACAGTATTGATGATGAGTTGGCTAAAATGGTAGCTTCTGATTTTCAACCCTTTTCCATTGTGGAGGACAAAGGAATGAAAAACTTTGTCAAAGCCCTAAATCCCACATACACTCTACCCAGTAGAAAAACACTTTCCCAAACAATGATCCCAAAACTATATGACACAGAACGTGCATTATGGCAAGAAAGGGTGACAAAAGCTCCATCAGTTTGCCTGACAACTGACTGCTGGACCTCCAGAACAACCTGCTCTTTCATGTCTGTCACTTGCCACTTTATTGAAGATTACAAGATGACATCTTGCCTTCTGGACTGCTTCGAGTTCACCGACAGACACACTGCAGAAAACTTGGCAGTGGAGCTACTAAGAGTGGCAAAAGAGTGGCAAGTAGAGGACAAAGTGGTGTGCTGTGTGAGTGATAATGCTGCAAACATCACCAAAGCCATAAAAGTTTTGAAGTGGACCCATCACCCATGTCTGGCGCATACACTAAACCTGGTGGTTAGAGATGCTCTGAAGGTGATCAAAACAACCGTGGATAAGGTGAAGGCTGTTGTGGAGTTTTTCCACAAAAGCACAGTAGCAGCACAGAAGCTAAAGTCCACACAGCGCCAAATGGGGATTCCTGAACTGAGGCCCAAACAAGAGTGTGCCACCAGGTGGAACTCAACATTTGATATGTTGAAACGAATGCTTGAAATAAAAGATGCCATCATCTCCACCCTGGCCCTCATCAACGCATCTATTGAGCCATTAAGCCAAGAGGAATGGGAGCTGGTGAAAGAGGTCTGCGCCGTCCTGCAACCATTCCAGGAGGTGACTGTGGAGATAAGTGCAGACAGGTACCTAGAACCATTGAAGCATTGTTTTCTCTACTACTATTCAGTCACTATTATACATTGCAAACACAACACATACAGTATAATGCATCACGTATAATATGCCACATACTTTTAAAAAACTAAATTCTAAAAGTTGCTGTTTTCTCTCCTTCAGCTATGTCACAGCCTCGAAAATGCTCCTGCTTTGCAAAGGTCTGCAGCTGGTGACAGCCGAGAACCAATGGACAGTAACTGTGCAGAAAGTGAAGGAATTAGTTGCAGCTCTTTGTTCAGCCATGGACCGCAAATTTCTGCGGATGGAGTACAACACTGTCCTTTCAGAAACTACCTTATTGGATCCAAGGTTTAAAAAACTTGCCTTCAGTGATCGTAGAGCTGTTGATGAAGCTCTTCAGAGGATTAGTGCAGCAGCAGCAGCAAAATGCACCCCCAGCAGCCAGCCAGCTCCACCATTACAGGGCCAAGTGGAGGAGGAGCAGCAAACCTCTGCTGTTTGGAGGCTTTTTGATGACAGAGCTACAGGAGATGCTTCAAGGAGAAATCCGACAGCTGATGCTATAATGGAGGTGAGGAGCTACCTTGAGGAGCCCCTCATCCAGAGAGCAGAAGACCCACTGAGCTGGTGGCAGGCCAAGGCCTCAGTCTTTCCACTCCTGGTGAAGGTGATGGAGGGGAGACTATGTATTGTTGCCACATCAGTTCCTTCTGAGAGAATCTTCTCCAAAACAGGGCAGATACTCACGGAGAGGCGAAATCGTATCAGGCCTATCAGCCCATCCAAGCTGAGGCATCTGATCTTCCTGAATGCCAACCTGCCCTGAGGACTAATGCTGTTTGCTGGAGTTTGGTTCTGGTTTTGATTCTGTTCTGTGGATTTGTTTGAAGTTTATTGTTAATTTGTGCAATAAAAAAGTTTAATTGAAATAAACAAATGTAAGAGTGGTTTTGTCACAGAATAAATGCACAGAATTAGGCATTATAAGGTCTCTCATAAAAACACTGAAAGCAAAAGGGTTTTCAACACATAAACCATGATTTTTTTTCAAAGTTAAGGTAAAATATAGGCTACAAAAGATCCTAAATAAAGAGCCGTTCGGGAGTCGAAAGAGCCGGCTCTTCTTTGGGAGCCGAGTCAAAAGAGCCGGCTCTCAGAAAAGAGCCGAACTTCCCATCATTATTTACAACCAAATATCACTTCAGAAACGTCAACATTTAAAATATTGATACGGCCAGCATTGTACACCATTTCCCCCCTCTTGCTGCAGCTTTTGCTAATCTCGAAATAACAGAGGAATGCTGTGAAAATCTGCGTGCTGCAAATATCCTAAAATGTTGTGTCACCAGTGCATGTTTTCGTCATGTTTTTAGTCCTCACGCACTGTTGCTCCTATGGCACTAATCTAGTGAGCATCTTTGTAGCTCTGCCCAAGCAAGCATTTGATTGGTTTGAGGTGTTGTGAGGCGTCACTGATTTACACCGGTTCCGACCAATGACCCTGGATTGTTAACGCTATGTATTGGCCATTGAGAGGCGGCTTCAAAATACAGCGCCCCGTCAGTCATCCAGGATATATACACATCATTGGTTCAAAGCGCTCTAGGGAAGTCTGGTTCGCGACGAGACTACTACTAACGTTACCACCAAGCTCGATTTTTTGGCCATAGTTTGTTGGCTAGTCATGTGACAACTTCATTGTAGCGTATAGGTTAGGTAGCTAGCTGGATAAATTGTAGCTAGCAGTTGCTAACGTTAACTATAAACGTTACAACAACGTGAAAACACTAAGTATCGTGGTCGTCACTAGTTAACACAGCCAGTCATAAACCCCGCCTATTTCTACTATGTATCTTCTTAGCTGACTAAATCGGATTTATCAGAAACTTCATTCATCGTGGAGTTTAGCCAGCAAACCCTAACCACACTGCTAACCGTATGCCTAACATAACCTTAAATTAAGACCAAAAAGCACACTTGTTTTCATGAATTTTTACGATATAGCCATTTTGACTTTGTGGCTGTGTAATGTGTACAATTATCGTTGGTTGGACTGTTAGGTAACGTTAGCGGTAGGCTAGTTAGCTTAAAGTTTGTTTGACTATCTACTGTAGCTGGCTAAATTAACCAACAATCAATGGTCACATTTGCTTAGCAAATGATAACGTTATGACTCATGCTATCAATCAATGAAGACTGTTGAGGGTTTAGGCAAAATAAAAACGAATAAAGCTAGCTATCAAACAAAGTTCTAACCAGTAAACCAAATATACTGGTGACTAGCTAACCCATTTTGTCTGTAAAAGCTAACTTGAGCTAACTCTCGTTAACGTTAGCTTGCTGAAGTAGCTAACTATACAATGACGCTCCTTACCTCTTGGGATTCATTGTTGTCTGAGTTTTATCCAAAAGTTAAAGTAAAGAAAATCCTAATAACTATTGCTAGATTGGTGACCGACTGATTACAATAACAGTGAGAGGCATTTCCCCCAGATAGTCACAACAAGAACGCAAACTGTAATCCCTTGTTTTAAATGCTGCTGAGCAACGAACAGGACATATCGCGAGACTATATAACCGGCTTGTTCACGAAGGTTAGAAATGCTGCACGCTGCGCAATCTGCAGTCTAAAAACCACATCAAGCAAGCACCCAAACATTTAGGAAATGTAATATTTGTATTAATTTATATATGTGTATACAACGGTTTTATTTATTTTTATTAACCCTTATTTTACCAGGTAAATTGACTGAGAACACATTCTCATTTACAGCAACAACCTGGGGAATAGTTACAGGGGAGCCAATTGGAAGCTGGGGATGATTTGGTGGCCATGATGGTATGAGGGCCAGATTGAGAATTTTGCCAGGACACCGGGGTTAACACCCCTACTCTTACAATAAATGCCATGGTATCTTTAGTGACCACAGAGTCAGGACACCCATTTAACATCCCATTCGAAAGACTGCACCCTACACAGGGCAATGTCCCTGGTCACTGCCCTAGGATATATTATTTTAGACCAGAGGAAAAAGTGCCACCTACTGGCCCTCCATCACCACTTCCAGCAGCATCTGGTCTCCCATCCAGGGACTGACCAGGACCCGAGTGGCGCAGCGGTCTAAGGCACTGCATCTCAGTGTTTGAGGCGTCACAACAGACCCCCTGGTTCGATTCCAGGCTGTATCACAACTGGCCGTGATTGGGAGACCAGGGCGGCACACAATTGGCCCAGGGTAGTCCGGGTTTGGCCTGTGTATGCCGTAAATAAGAATTTGTTCTTAACTGACTTGCCTAGTTAAATAAAGGTAAAATGAAACCCTGCTTAGCTCCAGAGCCGTGGGATGCAGGATTTTATGCTCCTGGCTATTTCTATTTTCATATAGGCTACTCATTATGATTAAAGAATGTGTAGCCTACATTGACAACCACTGAGGAGCTAATGTCAGCAACCAATCACCTCCCATCTGAGGCATAAAGATACTGGGGTGCGTTCAGTTCGCTTGAACGTTTGCCATGTTGCGGAACGGTTTATACTGAACGACACATTTTCCCAAAACCTTCTTGTAAATTCTTGAACAGACTTTCCCTTACAAAAAAAGATTGCAGTCAGAGTGCAGTATAACTGCAGTACAATGCAGCATAACTGCAGTTATTCTGCAATTACTGCATCCAAAATACCACAGTCGACTGCAGTTACTGCATTTTTACTGCAGTTTTAAAACTGCAAGCTTTTTTTGTAAGGGTTGAGATACGTTTGCTTCGTTCGGTGGGTGTGTTGGGGGCGTGGCTTGAAGCAATGAGTGACGTGTGTTAAAGGTCAACGGTGCATTCTGAACCCACAACCCAAACCCTCCCCGTTTTTCAACTGGTCGTTCAGTACAGCACCGTTTCCGTTTCCGTTCAATTAAACGTTCTATTACCCTTTTATGTACTTAACGCAGCCCTTGTCTGAGGTGAAAATGATACAATGAGCTTCCAATTTCGGATACATCAGGAGTGATAAATTAATACTCCCGAGTGGCGAGGCGGTCTCAGTGCTAGAGACGTCACTACAGACCCTGGTTCGATTCCAGGCTGTATCACAACCTGGCGGTGATTGGGAGTCCCATAGGGCGGTGCACAATTTGCCCAGCGTCGTCCGGGGTAGGCCGTCATTGTAAATAAGAATTTGTTCTTAACTGACTTGCCTAGTTAAATAAATAATGAGCAATAGAAACATGGTAGACTAACATGTAGCCATATAAATTAAAAACCTGCAAATAAAAATGGACTCAGAGGATTCACTTAATTGTTTATTGCAAAACATATATACTGTGATTATTTTATTTAGAACAAACATTTACATTTTTGCACTTCTGGAGTTAGTTATCAAAAATATAAGTGGCTACATTCTACAGTTAAAATGCATAAATATTTTCTCAGATAGCTCAACTGGAACAATCCCTATTCCCAATTACTGCATAGAAATATCCATGCACTTTTTACTAGTTATTGCTACATACAAACACAGAACACCACATATAAAAAATAGCATGGCACTTTAATTAAGAACACGAAAATATAGACATTCATTCTCTTTGTAGACTGCAAATATAATCAAATAATCAATAATAATCAAGTTAATCAACAATTGTATAACACTTACTTTTTTCAAATAATAAAAACAATGTGTTGGTCCTAAAACAGTTTTTGCCATTTATTTGATGTGGTTAGGATAAATAAATAGCTTGAACTACTTAATAATAAATAAAAGTGCTTTAAGCTAAAACCATGGAAGCTTAGCCTCCTCACAACTTTCAAAATCACATGCCATATAAATAAACAAGAGTTGTTTAAATATAAAATAAAAACTATTAAATTAATGAAATAGAATGAAATGTCAAACGTAATGACCTACAGTCCGCAATGCTGGACTCTCAAACTGCAGCAATCCGATTTCAATGAGCATTGAGGAGTTTCTCCAAAATGTATTTAACTTCGTTTGGCGTTAACTCCTCCAAATCCGGAAGGTCCTCGGGAAGAAGGCTTCTGGTTCTCACTTTCTCCCCCCTCTCTGCATTTCGGAGCGAGGCTGTATGGATGTCCCTCAGCTTCATCTGAAGCCAATCTTGCCTCAACTGCACGTGCTTGTGTTCTCCAAGGTTGTGCATTAGTTGTACTTCACTAACAGATCTCTTTCTGTAGGAAACAATACATAGTAAGTTAGATGTGTCTGATTTAAAACATGACTTTATAATTTGCAACAAGGCTATAGGCCTACTTGTATGCTGTCATATCCAATCATGTTACAATACAATTTAATATAGTCCATAATATAAAGTTATTCCATTAAGTTATTTCCAAACACTGCATATAAGGTTCAAACCTACCTTAATGGTCGTCCTTCTGATAGCGTTGAATAGTATACAATGCAGAGTGATATGAGTACCACTTTTATGTCCAAACCTCTGATGAGAAACATTTTGATAACCTGTCAAAGAAAAATAAACAAAAGTTTAGATCATAAACTTGTATCTGGAATACATTTCTGTGTTTCATAAGCCACCATTTTAAATTCCAAATAAAGTTAAATAAGACTTCATTTTTATGTTTGATAAGCAACCATTTGTACTACAAATAAAATTAAAGAGGCTATACAATTTTACTTAGAATAGACATGGCATGTCATGCAGACAAAATAATGACAAAGTTGCTGAAGTTCAACTTGCCTCTTGTGTGACAGGCTTCTCTGGAAAGATATTATATGGAGTGCAGGAGTGTAAACCCGATTTGTAGATCAGCCTATCTGTTATGATTAGGGTAAGTCTCCCAAAGTTCCTTTTATAGCCCTCTGCCCATTGATGAGCCGCCTTCATTATTGGTGTTGATGTCACTTGCCTTGATGGGGATAGGCATGCGCATGAAAACACCTCCGCAACTCTGAGCTTTCAGCACCTTTGCCCGGGGATAACGAATTGCCCTGCTTTTGAAACTGCGCTATTTTCAATAGCAAATATTGATAATCGACTACTAGGATCAGCCTTTCAGTGAATGTTTACATTACTGACATATTGCAACTTTAGGGTGGATGCCTTTTATACCTTTATATAATACATTGGTTTGGTAGGCTTTGTCAAATTGTGTTTAGGCATAGCCTATAAAGTATATATTTATATTGTAAATGTATTGTACATTGTATATTTTTATATATTTATTGTAGGCCTATAGGATTATACCAATTGTGTAGGATATATATTGCCTATATTGTATGAAGTATATATTTATATATGTTTTGTATAGATTGTCAATATTATTCAATACTTTTATTTCAGTCCTTATGAGTCTAAATAGATGGATGATTTGGGGGCATTTCGTGTTTTTTTCTACCAAGATTCAAATGCGAAATTAGCAATAGGCCTTTAGACACATTTATGACCATAGCTTAGGCTTTAGTGCAATATCAAGTTTCCCTGGGATACCAACAACCATCTACTCACAATGACGTCACAGTAACATCCAGTGTGGGCTCAATGGTAATGAGTAAAGTGTGACGGGAAAATACCGACGCACTTGTTTGATCATCCACATAGTGTAGGCCTAATGTTTTGTAACGTTTAAAATGTGCAGTTGCTCTGTCTGTGAGCAGAAAAAATTCACAGTGGAACATCTGGTAATTCATGACTAACACAGAGATGTAGTTGCACTGTTATGGATTCAAATATTGCTCTGATGAAAAAATAAACCATAATGCCTAATAAAATGATTAGCCTAATGTTATATATTAATTTCGTATCTTGTAATGCAAGTTCATTCAAATGTAGGCCCATACACCTCATTGATTCAAAAGCATTGCCTTATATGTCAGATTTTCTGTAAGTCATGATAAAATAATAGGCTACTAGAAATTCATAAAAGTGGTTGAAAAATAACCTTCAAAGGCTAGTCTATCATATGAATTACAAACCCACAGAAACATTTTAAGAAGACCCCCCACACCACCCTCTCTGTCCCGTAATTTATGTGCACTGTCAACTCCCTAACTAGTATAAACTATAGGCCCCCTCCTTCCAGATGTATGGACATAAGAAACCCCATTGGTCTTCATCTATCCAACTGATATGCCACACATCAGCTCTATTGACACATGCTATGCCATATAATAGCCATAAGTCATTATAGCCATAAGTCAAATCTCTTTCTTTCTGATGCCCCGGAGTCGAGATCTCCTGCTGTGGCCACAGGTGTGTAGGATGATCCATGGGCCATGAGCCACCCTGTCCTACTTTTATGGGCGCAGGGCGCGCAATGACACATTAGGTAACCGTGCGGGAATCTTTCTAAATGTGGAAGAGGAATGGCTATGTCATGACACAGAGAATACATCCCAGAGAGGAACCAAACAGGTCCGACCTATAGATCTTCCCTCGTGGACTGGTTAAGGTTTCTGTCAGGGCTGCAGGCATGCATGCCCCCAAAAAGAACATGACGACAGAGAGTAGGCAGTCCATGATGTTATGCGAGGACATAAGCAACTTTCAGCTGCTTCTGGGCAAAGAACATAATATTTGATATTCACTATGGTGGAGAAACAATGCAATTTGGGTATTGGAAAGTTCTGAAATATGTTTGAAGGTGCACCTTGATGCACTTTGGTTCATGCATAGTTGCACATGTTTCAAGCAAGTTCAAAGCACTCTTCGTATTAAGAAAATGTAAATCCCTTTATTAGCTTGGCATATACATTTTAGTGAGTGCCTTATTGTTTGGATGAAGTAACTATCACCAAATCAATGTCCTGAACTGCTTATATTGATAATGATGCTCCGAGACTGAAACTGAATTTGTACATTGCACCTGTTTTTGATTTACTATCATCCTGTAAAACAAACTTCACAGGTGGTGGGCAATTAAAGTTGTTTACATACCAGTTTAACAGGATTTATGGCCAAGCTGACCTGCATCTTAAAGATGTTGCCCTTTTACTGGTTTCGCGTGATACTATTATGGACCACATTGGGCATGGCCTGTTTAGATGACACCCACCAAACAAAATGACCTTTGAACTTAGCATGAGATCCTAAACCATATAGTTCTCATTACCTCATGCTGGCTCAATGTAAGCCATGTCCCCGGTGGTAGTCCTATGTGACAGCATTGGGGTGCATGGGAATTCTCTCGGGATTAAAGAGAAGGTATTGCTAACGACATCTACCCTTACAATAATGAGTAGCAGCGATACTCCTTATAAGTCATCAAAATAGTACATTATGGATTTGTTTAAAATACACTACATTATTTAGATTGTTTGTTTTGAAAGATCTCCATTATATGATGGCAAAGTCTGAGTCCAACCCAAATCATACAGTACTTAACCGTATGTATTGACATCCTAACTAATGACAAAAGCCATCCATCATTCCTTCAATTCTGACCAGTTTCCCAGTCCATGCCGATGGGTTTGTGCCAGACATTTTCCTTGATGGCCAAAAAGCTCAATTTTAGTCTCATCTGACCAGAGTACCTTCTTCAATATGTTTGGGGAGTCTCCCACATGCCTTTTGGCGAACACCAAATGTGTTTGCTTATTTTTTTCTTTAAGCAATGGCTTTTTTCAAGGCCACTCTTCCGTAAAGCCCAGCTCTGTGGAGTGTACGGCTTAAAGTGGTCCTATGGACAGATACTCCAATCTCCGCTGTGGAGCTTTGCAGCTCCTTCATGGTTATCTTTGGTCTCTTTGTTGCCTCTCTGATTAATGCCCTCCTTGCCTGGTCTGTGAGTTTTGGTGGGCGGCCCTCTCTTGGCAGGTTTGTTGTGGTGCCATATTCTTTCCATTTTTTAATAATGGATTTAATGGTGCTCCATGGGATGTTCAAAGTATCAGATATTTTTTTATAACCCAACCCTGATCTGTACTTCTCCACAACTTTGTCCCTGACCTGTTTGGAGAGCTCCTTGGTCTTCATGGTGCCGCTTGCTTGGTGTTGCCCCTTGCTTAGTGGTGTTGCAGACGTTAATATCCAATACCTTATCTGCAAAAGCCATCTGAAATGAAAACAGCAGCATGCTGCGTAGATATCTGAATGACGGCAGAGACTTGCTGTGATTCAGCAGGATTCACGCATGACTGAGAAGGAAAAACTTTATTCTAAGCACAACATTAGACATAGAATATTTCCACTTCCTTTGACTCAGACTGGGGTTTGGGTCCAACAACTGAGGGCAGCCGTATTTGTTCATTTAGAACGTCCGCACATCTTCGAGGGAATGATGGCATTATGGTATGCTATACACTATTGTGTACTGGAACTCTAGAGAACGTCTTGGCCTCTGTGGTGCCATTTATCAATGGCCTCATCCCGATTCATCACAACTGTGAAGCTGTTCGCCACCCACTTTACTCTCACATGTCTAAATGATTGATACTTGTACGACAACAGAAGCGTGTGCCTTTTGAAAGTCTATCCCAGGGAAGCACGTGCTGCTCATGGTTCCGCTGGCAGCCAGTCACCGGCTGTCAAATGTTACAAAGAGAACAGGTAGTGGCCGCACCATTACAAGCACCTCCTCAGCAGTCATCACCTTCACACCCGATATAAGCTCCAAAAAGATCACGATGAGCTTCCTTTGCACAGGTTTACCATGTCGTAGTAGTAGTCAACACAATAGTCTCCCCAGATGTGTTCGCAGAACAAGCCAAGGCAGTCAAGATAAAAAACTAAAAACATGAGCACATGAATCGTATAATAGAAAGTTACTATTTTATTTTGATTCAGAAGACTCAATGAATGATCTCAAACATTTATTGTGTGTTTCATCAATCATGGATAATTATGTAATGTCCCATACCTAAGTGACCAACGGAAAGTCGACTGACCCATATACTCAGACAGCGTGGGCGGGTGGAACAACTGAAATGATGGAAGGCATCTGACAATAATGCACCCCTGACCTTCCCTGTAATTCAGGGATCTAGGTAGAGCTGTAGCTTCCACTGCATATTTCGATGCCACCTCGGAAATGGCTCATGACCACCACAATAAATTGCCTGGTTACTACTACTAGTACTAAGACAGTAAGACAAACAGTATAGTCACATTATCATGTGCTATAGCATTAACAAGCTAGCAGATTAGCACTTTATTTTAATAGCAGGGGCTCGCTTGTTTGGAGTCTCCGATATTTTGAATTATGTCTTTCCATATCCGCAACCTCTGCTGAGGTAGGGAAAGGTCTGTAGCTATGTGCTGTGTATTTTAACACTTAAGGGTTGATGTTTGCTTCCAAAAATAAGCAACGCCCATGGTTTTGACACATTCTTCATTATACCTCCACAGATAAAGCGAATCCCTTGGGTGTGTTGAACATTTACAGGCAGAAGTAATGTAGCGCTTGGATGAATGGTGCATCAAGAGTGGAAAACAGATGAGAGTCTCGATCTGGAAGTCATCCATACATTAGTCATCCAATCATATGTGCAATGTCTAAATATGT